ATGTCACCTAATTGACTTATTGGTGCTCGTTTGTGAAACTTGTGTGGTTGTCGGGGACCACTGTGAGGAAAACAGCCTCTGGGTGGGCTTGGGCATGGAACATGGGGGCCAAAATGTAGCGTGCGACGGTGCGCGACGGTTGCGCGACGGTTGCGCGAAGGTTGCGCGAATTCGCTTTGTGGGTTCGTTGGGGGCATGTTTTGGATAGGTGCAGAGGTGCGCGACCAATTTTCGGCCCAATATGGGCAGTGCGCGACCTGGTTTTTTGAAAGATTTGGGCCCCTTGTTCATAAAATGGAGCGCGCGACGGTTGCGCGACGGTTGCGCGAAAGTCATTGGAAAACTAGTGGATTTTAGGGTTTGTAGCATCGTTGCAACTTTGTGAACCATGTGGTGAAACTTTGCACTCTTCAGGCCTTTGCGTGCTGCTTTTGCGATGTTTGACTGCTGACAACTTGATTTCTTGCAGGGCAGAGGCTCAGTCGCATGCTTTCCGACATTTCTAGAGAGGTTTGCTCCAAATTGCCACACAGTTGGTACATGTCAGCAGGAATTGAAGCAATGTCCAGAGAGTTACTACAGTTTTCTCATTTATCAGCTCCATGCCCATTAGAAAGCGACATCATTGCACAGCTCTGCTTGCGCAACGCTCCAGTTCGGTGCATAGAGCCCATGTCAGCCTCCTCGGCTGCAAATGTTGCTGGTGATTCTGCTGATGACCGAGCTTTCAAGATGAGGCGCTTGAGCACAGAGGTCGAAGTTGAGCCAGTGCAAGACAGTCCGGAGCTCTTAGCAAATTGGCCTTCGGAGTTGCCCAAAATTCAAGAGGCCTTGCTAGCGAAGTATGGCTGTACTTCGGAACTTCAGCAGAACTTGAGCAGAGGCACGCTATATGTCACATCGTCATACTCAGGAATGGGTACTCTCGAACATGTGCTCAGGCGTTTGGCCTCAGCTGCGCTCCCTTTGCATTGCACAGCTGGACCTCAGCCAGAGGCATCACATGGCCCACTGGTGTTCTGGTCATGCCACGACACTGACAAGAACTGCCGTGCTATGTTGATGCAGTCAGGGCTCCGTCCCAAGCACATTTTTGGTGACATCCAGGAGCAGTTGGATCCAGATGCTGTAAACAAGATGAAGTTCGTCATCAAAACGCTTTCTGAACGCCTCAATGAGTTCGAGGCTCGTTGTCAGCGGGAGGAGACTGTGGCAAGCCGCGCAAAGCAGCTAATCAAGGCAGAGACAGAGAAGCTGAACATGAGGTGCATGCAAAAGCTACAGCAGATATGTAGCAAGGAGTTTGTTGCTGGTTCGGACCGCCATGAGGGGTGGTGCTTTGTTTGCCAACAGCATTGCCCATATGATCCTCCGATGACAGGGTTGGATTCCAGACTCGAGCTGGGCGGAAATTCTTGCGTCAGTTTTAGCCCATAAGGCAACCGCGTGCGCTGGTTGCACTTTCAGTCCATCCCCTGTGCAATCTGGATGTCCAGGAGCGAACACAGAAACATCGACTTCCTAGTCCAGGAGTGTTCTCATTGCTTTAATACCGAGAGCTGTATGGAGTGCTTCTTCAGCCCGGCGAATGGCTGGCAGTCGCATGTGGTGACTCTGAGTCCTGTGGATGTATCAGTACCAATGACAAGACCCAGAAAATTTAGCTTTACGACATCCAAGAAGTTCACAGTGAAGGTGCCCTTGACAAGAGAACTGATCATGGCTGTTTGTGGGGGCAAAGCAACTGTGGATGCGCATGACTTTTGGTGTATGAGTCCTGAAGTACTCCAACAGGTTCTGTCATTGCAGGCACAGCGACACTCCAAGGACGAGCTTGATACTGCGGCTGAGTTGGGTGTTGCAGCCTTGACTCCAGGTTGTCAGAAGCGACTGAAGGACTATGACAAGCACATTGCAGAGGTTGAAGCAAAGAGCAACAACGCCAAGATCATACCAGTGCTGGATCTGTCGCAGAATGTGCGTGTGAGACAAAGTCTTTCCAGCGTGATGCCTTCCCCCATGTGTGGCTCGGTCATTTTCTCATGCAAGCATCGACGTCAGCTGCAACCAGGTGAGCTTTTCTTTGCTTTAGGCTGGCCTTATCCTGGTTTGAGTGGGACATGCGATGATGATTTTCCGTTTCCCGCAGAGCTGCTGGAGGCCATGAGTGAGCGGCAGATTTACAGCATGTTGGGCAATTCCGTGCATTGCCGAGTAACCGGGTTCTTTTTTGCTATAGCTTTTATGCTTGCAGAGCGGAGGGCTGATGCAACTTGAGATGCCTGCGGCCAGAGGGGTTTGAGTCTTTCAAGTTTTGGGCTAATCGCAGTGGCAGTGC